AACCTATTTTCGTTACAAATATTTCGTATATTATTATGATATCCAATGCAAATCGTGCGAAAAATAAAAAACAAATGTTATCTACATCAAAAAATAATTTCCGTACCTGTTAAAAATGAGCAATGAAATACTCATTTTTTCACCATTAAAAAAAAATGAGTAGTGAAATAAATCCACATTACTCTTACATTATAATGCACGGCAGTATACTGCCGTGCTTAATGAAAACGCCGTAACCAACAATTGTGCGATTTTTGTTTTACGGCATTTTCTACTAGAAAAATTCATCCTGCGTATATCCCCGGTACTCAAAAAACCGTATCTATATATATACGGTTTTTTGAGTACCGGGGATAGACGCAGGATGAATTTTTCTAGTAGAAAATGCCGTAAAACAAAAATCGCACAATTGTTGGTTACGGCGTTTTCATTAAGCACGGCAGATTACTCATTTAAAATTGAAAATGAGAAATGTACAAGTAATTCTCCATTAAACGAAAAAAATTAGTAATGTGAATTAATTTCATTACTCATTATGATAAAAATGAGAAATGAAATATCATTGCATTAAAAAAATGCGTTTTTTGCAACTGTGATTAGAAGTTGTTTAGATTTTTTTGTGCCACTGCAGTAACCATGGTTACACACTTGTGTTCTGCCAGTTGTAAAAAATTGTTACTAAAAATTTTTTTGCAAAAAATAAATAAAACTCAATAAATACAAAACTTTTATGACCTTAAAGCTCTAATAACCTTCTGTATTTATTTACTCATCCAGCTATTAAAAAATTTAGTACCTATTCTAAAAACTCCATAACCACAAAATTAATTTTTTTTCGGTTTTTTTTCTTTCTGTTTACTCAGATGAAATTAGGACAAGTTTACATGTTAAACTTTGAACATTCAATTTGTGTAAATAAATCCAAAAGCATTTCCCTTAGTTAAGATTTTTACAATTGGATCACATCATAAAATTTGAAAGAAATGCATAAGATTCTGCCATAAAAGTTGACAGATTTTGTTTGAATATACGTTCATTACAAAGATGACAAAATTAACAATAAATAAAAACGGCTAATTAACAATTTGCATTGTTGTCATTTTTGTAATTAAGCTAAATTTAAACAAAATCTGGCAACTTTTTTTGCAGAATCTGGAAACGCTGCTTGTTACCAACCATAACATAATAAATTAAATTAGGCAACCAGATTAGCCCAATGTTCCTAGTCGATCAGTGGCGTACTTTTTGGTAGGATAAAGGTTATTATAAATTATTTTAGTCTTTAGAATTTAGAAGAAAAAAGTTTTTGGTGCTTCTTTATAAAAAATAAGAAACTACCCAATATTACATTAATTACATAATACCATGTATATGCATATGAACCCAAATGAGCAAATCCAAAAAAGGTTGTCTAAAATGAATGTTTTAAGGTAAGTATAATATTTTAATGAAGTAATTTTTATTAAATTGCATGGTTTTTTAATAGGCTGTTATAAATAGGGATTTTTACGTTATTTATGCCAATTAAATTATTTTGACAAGAAAAAATCATTGGTGTACTTACCTCATGAGGTCATGTTTATTTTTTTAATAGAAAACTAACATAATAATGTTAATATGGGATTTATGTAATGGGCCATAAATCTCGTGACGCTAAAAAAGGTAAAAATTGCGGTATTTTATTCAAAACGATAACATTTATAATTAAAAAATTCCAACATTCATTGTCAGAGGTTTTTTTTCTCAATAAATAAATAACAATGTTACTCAGGGGTTTTAAATAAATAAAAAAAAATAAAACCCTTCCAAAAAATTTATTTTAAACAAATTAACATTATTAATAATAACATTATAATAAATATATCCCATCTATAAAATATAACATATGTATATTATTCTTTTATTGTCTTTATTGACTACAAAAAATGCCCTAGCAAATGCCATAAAATATCTACAATAATCTAAAAACTAAAAAATATAATATAGTTAGAGATCCAACATAAAATATACGGAAACTGTACAGTTTATTGCATTTGGAACATCAAAAAAACTGTTACCCATTTTGCATATTAATTAACAGGATGAAGTAACTTAAGGTGATTCCTTACCTACTACATATTTCTTGGATTAAAATAAGGTAAGTAAACTTATTTTGGTCTAAAAATATGTATATGTTGTAAGTTTTGGTAAAGACCTTTTAGAGTCACCCTGTATAAAAAAAAAACAAAAATGTAATAAACTGTAATTTATGGCTAAAATATACTGGCCAAGTGTACTGGCTATCGTTAAAAATATCTAACTAAAATCTAAATAATTATTTATAATTATAATTAAAAATTATAAATTTAGGAATCTTTACCTCATATATTTTCAAACGTCCCTGTATATTTTTACTAAAAATTTTTCGTAAAAAAATGAGCATTTTTTACATTTATATTATATTCACCCTTTATATACATACGTACTAGGGTGTTTGCCTATCAACTTAGAATATCAGAAGTGGGATAAAAACCGGGTAATAAGGGACACCCTAATAATATGTATATTTATCGGGATATTTTTTATTCGAAAATAATAAAATAATAACGTGATTTAAATGGAATGAACTTTGGGTGTATAAATTTTGTATAAAAGTGTTTTTTAGGAAAATATTTTGTTTAATTTGGTCCCGCAAGTATTTACAAAATACAGGAAGTCAAAAAAACACCCTGTATATTTTTTAATAGAAATATTAAAATATGGTTTTTATCTTTTTACCATTAAAGGTTATGAATTCATAAATATTAATTATAAACATTATATTATATTTTAATATTTCTATTAAAAATCATTATATATATTTACTTAAAAATAGTATACTTTTATAATTAATAAACAAACTGATATTGTTATTAACTAATTATTTTAACTGGCCAATTATGTCAAAAATATGTAATATGTAAAATTTACATATTAATGTACAACTAAATCTAGTAATATTATTTAAATAAATATTTTATTTACAATTTATTAAATAAAAATCGTTATAAAATTATTTTTTATGTTCTATAAATACAATTTTTGATTTACAATTTTGGTTAAGGTACAAAAATATTTAACATTATTTTTTGCTAGTATATGGACAAATTTATAATAAAAAATGTCCAAATTACACAGGTCTACAAAAATTTAAATAATTTGTAAAATTTTCATCATTTTTAAATTTTATGTGCGTGCTCGAACAAAATGCCCTTAAAGGAATAAATTTAAAAATGGTAGGACAAATTATTGGCACAGTGGCATAATTATAAAAAATGGTAGGACAAATTCGCACAGTGGGATAAATTTTAAAATTGGTAGAACCAATTCGCACAGTAGAATAAATTTTTAAAAATGTAGGTTAAATATGCAGTGGCACACATTTAAAAAATGGTAGAAAAAATGTGCACATTAGCATACAAAATATTTAAAATTTATAAAATATTAAGATTTGTAAAAATTTCCACTATTTCTTGGGATTTTTTTAAATTTCCAATATTTTGAAACTTTTCAATTCCTGTGTTATTTAAAATTACATTTATTTATTTATGTTATTTATTACATTTATTTACTACCGAAAATGTCCAAATAAAAAAAATAGCAATTACAAAAATAATGTTCGGTTTAGAATAAAAAACAATTTAATTTTTTTAATTTTCGTTCCTTTCTAAATATTTGCTTATGTATACATAAATATATAATAAGGCTACAAATATAGTTTATTAAACCAACTATATAAATTCAATTATGGGGTTTATATGCTATTTATCTATATACATATACAGTTTGTCCCAGGATTTTCGATTTTTTTTGTATTTTTAAATCCATTTTGGAATTCCTTAAGGGGATCATAGTTAAAAGCTTATCCGGTGATCCTGAGACACCCTGTATATATCAGTGGCATCAACTACCTTGTTGTATTTATAAATAGAAAGAATTTTGGAGAAAAATAATGTATTATTATACTCTATCTACTTCAATAAGTAGAAAATTTAATGATCTGACATCTGTCAAATTGTTAACCTCACTTTTTACCAATTTTAAATGTCATTATAGTCGCCTTCTTTCAATTTAAAACCCGATTGGTTCAATTAACAGTGAATATTGAAATCGACCAAACACTGATGCTTAACAACGTGAATAATGAGTTCATTATTCCCGTTGTTAGGCAGGGAATTTAGAATGTATAATATTTACTGAAAAAATCCAAAATTATGCAATAGTATATATACTCGAGAAAATGCGCATTATTCACTCAGATGATTTGCGTCTCTTGTCTAGCGACTCGAGATCCAAAGCTTATAAGCGTGAATAATAGCCTGCATTATCGCTCGTATAATAATATACTATTTATTCACTAATTTAATGAACTGTTTGCAACAGTTTATTAAGTTACTTATTGCAGGGGTGAAATTGGGGAAAAGTGAGGTTAAAACCGTTTGACAGATGTCAGATTGGAAAACAGTTAGGTTACAGTTGTCAGATAAAATGTCAAATAAAATGGGCGATAAATTCTGAAAAATTTATAAACTTAATTATAACACTCGTTTATTATGCACTCGCTACGCAAGCTACGTTCGTGACAATTAAAATCGTGACTTAAATTGCGTTTATAAAACTCGTTGCTATATAGTATTTAACAATAAAAATAATACATTTAAATAATTTTTAAAGAATAGAAAATAAAATGTAGGTATTTACCTAATTATTTTCCTTAGGTTTCTTTCTGAATACAAAATACCAACTCAACGGCGTTTGATATATTTATCATTCTTTATCATTTAGCTACCTGTGATATAATTAATTAATTAATTTAATTAAATTTAAAATATGTCAAATTAGATTTTTTTACACTCAACATATTCAACTTTTTTTACTATGTAGTAATTTAATTTCGGCGTTGTAACATTAGAGGTTCGCTCCAAAAGTGAAGTTAGCAATATAGTATTTTTTCAAATTGAAATTCGCTAATTTGTGTTTTTTTAATGGCGCTTCATGTGAAGCGAAAGATGATCAGACCTGCTGAAAGACCTTTGACATAAATTACAACTAAATGGTTTTTGTCCTGTGTGTTTCCTGTAATGCCTGGTGAGTTCATCGGATCTGGCGAATTTCCAGGTGCATCCTTCCCAGGAACATTGGTATGGTTTTTCTCCTGAAAACAAGTTATGAACTTCTTTTAAATGTTTTTAAGGTAATAAGCAACCGGTGTGTGACTTCTGGAAGAAGCCTGGGTTATATCTAATTAATACTCGTATTATATGTAAGGGTGTAACATTGATAAAGACAAATAAATAACACAGTGCAAAAAATCTTTAAATTTAAATAAAAAAATATTTGCTTTTAATGACCTATCTTATATTAGTATTATAATACTTTCGACATTGGATATTTTAAAATAAATTTGCTTTGATTAAATAGCAAGTTGGTTTTAAAACATAAAATTTGGAATAAATAGTTTTAATAAAGTTCGCTGTCCTCATTAAAACCCATTATGAAAACTATTTATACAGTGAGCGCGTTAAAATCCCCCCTTGTTAACTTTTGAACAAAATAAGATATCGATGTCGGACAAAAACCAGGGTAAACTATATTGTGTTTAGTGCCAAGAGGGCAGTATCAACATGAAAATTTCAAATGGAAAGGGGGTGCTTGTGATACCTCTTTTGAAAGGTATTAATTGTCTATATAACACTTTTTGTTTTACCGTTTAACCATAGTTAATAGGGTTTAAAATTTTTAAAACACATTTTATTTTGGTTTTAATTTATTAAGAAAAATTTAAATTAGATGATCGAAATGTTCCCCTTGGACAGCTTGACACACAAATAGCCTATCTTCAAATTTATTTCTAACATTAGCAAAAGTTTCTTGCGAAATACTGGCACATTCACGTCCAATCCGGTGTTTAAGATCATCTATGGTTTCCGGTTCTGTAATGTAGACCTTCGATTTTAAATATCCCCACAAAAAAAGTCAAGTGGCGTTAAATCGGGAGAACGAGCCGGCCATTCGGTAGAACCACGCCTACCAATCCACCGATTTGGGTAACAGTTACTGTAATCAAGCCATTGTCTAACATCCCTAAAATAATGTGGGGGCGCTCCATCCTGCTGAAATATGACTTCTCTGTCAAATTCATCAGGATAGGTATTGATTATTTCCTCAATCATTGGTTGAATTTGGGTTTGAAGCATGTTAAGATACAGAATACCTGTCAAATTTTGTTCCAAAAAGATGGGGCCTAGGATGTGGTTTCCCAGTATTCCCGCCCATACATTAACTTTTTGCGGATACTGGGTGTGACCTTCTCGAAAAAAATGTGGATTAACATCTGACCAGTAGCGTACATTTTGTCTATTAACAGTACCATTTAGAAAAAAAGTGGATTCATCACTAAAGCAAATTAATCTTATGTAGAGTGGATTTTGTGACATGCGCTCACACATAAGTTCACAAAATTGCATTTGGTGATCAGAGTCATCTTCAGTTAGTTGGTGGAGTACTTGAAGCTTGTAGGGATAAAATTTGTTCTTCTTTAAATATTTCCTAACAGTTGTTTGAGATACAACACAAGTGCAAGTGCGGCCGTCGATTGTTGTGGAATATTGACAACCGAACCAACTATTTGCACCTGTTTCTCTTCGGAAATTGATTTAAAAAATCCCGTAGATATTTCCTGCAAATTGGGTTTTCTGGGTACCTTCCATTAAACACCCTTTCTGTTTCGTGCAAATTTCGCCCCATTTCACCATAAATAAAAATAGCCTCCGTTTTTTCTTCTAATGGGCGATGTCGAACCATTTTACATTCAAATATTAATTTAAATTGCATGAACAACTAACAATTTAATACTAAAGATATTAATTATTTTATTTTTTATCTAAAAACAGGATATTGGTATGAGTATTTAAAACAAAAAAGTTGGCAAAAACGCATAATTATTGCACTGGTTTGCAATAATTCGCACTCGGCGAAAATGTGAGTAGAAGCGACAAAAACGCTTAATATTATGGTTAAGCGGATTTTAAAAACAAAAAAAGTGTAAATAGAGAATTAAAATACCTTTCAAATGAGGTATCACAAGCACCCCCTTTCCATTTGAAATTTTCAAGTTGATACTGCCCTCTTGGCACTTGTTGGGCAAAAAAATTTCATACTGACGTAAAAAAGTAGTAAACACAATATTGTTTACCAGCTGGTTTTTGTCCGACATCGATATCTTTTTTGGTTCAAAAGTTAACAGGGGGGGAATTTTAACGCGCTTACTGTATATACGCTTAATAAAATTCCACTTTAAATCCAATAACATAATTTTTAAGTTTTAAAGAGTACATTAGGAATATTTTAAAGCAAGATTTTAATTTAGTCAATTTGGTTAAAAGAAATTCATGTATAACATATTTAATTTAATCAAAATTAGTACTGTTTATTTAATTTGTATTATTTATTATTTTTTGTATAATTATTGTTAAAATTAAGGAACTCTATGAATTTATTGAACCAAGTTTAGGGATTTTTAATGTGACCATGTTGGCAACACTGCATAAAACCATAAAATAATTATATTTTAGTAGGATCCTGGTAATAAAAAAAACAAAGTTGTACTTCAAAGTTACAAACTTTTTTTAATTATTATTTTAACCCGGAAATTTTTAATTTAATAAAAATGTAATAATATATATAAATTAAAAAAATATTGACGTTTATTAACGCAAATAGTGTATAGGCTACTTAAAATTATAAAAAAGGCACATTAAACTCCATTTTTTTTAAGTTTTAATTTTTTAAAACAAATTTAATTTTTTTAACAAAAATTTAATTTAGGAAGTTAATGATTTTTTTATATTAAATTTAAAAAAATTAATTTTAATAAACGTTTTCACATAAAAAGGCCATAAAAGAATTTTGAGCCAACTTGAACAAACCCAGGGTTTTATTATTAAATATTTATACTTTGTGGGAAAATCAGTGAAATCAGGTTTAAAATTGCACCCAAAATTTGTCGCACAGTGTATACAGGGTGAGTATTTTAACTTGAAATTTTGAAATATCTCAGAAATAGGCATTTTACAAAAAAAAATTTAAATAAAATCAAAATGATTCGAGGAGGGAAATAAATTAGTACCAAAATTATTCCTCATACTCTCATCCTAACTTTAAAATTTCCAATAGAATTGCAGATTCGGATCATTAAAAATAGGTAGATTTTGTCGAAAACATGTCTTTATATTTGTAAAAAAACGCCCTGTAATAAAAAAATCAATTTTTATTTTAATTTTTGTTTCGTAAAATGCCTATTTACCGAGATATTTTCAATATTTTACAAGACTCTGTATATTCACAAAAATCTTACCCGTGTGCGTCCTTTTGTGCGCCTTCAAATGTGAACTTTTCGTGTACACTTTGTGACATCCGACAACATCGCATCTATGTATTTTCCTTCTTCTTATTGTACCATCGGCCACCCTTGATTCTTCGCAATTATTATTATTGTTGTTATTGTTGTTGTTCACGTTATTATTGTTATTATGGTTGTTAACATTCGATTTACTGGGCGGGGTATCTAAGACAGGAGATCTACTTATGGTCCTAAAAGCAATAAAAAAGGTTTCATTAGAAAATCTGTCTATTTGATTTGACTCTTGGATAGAAATTCAATTTTCTTAAAAAAAAAATTCACGGTGTGGTTTTGAGTAGTTAAAAATACCTATCATATAAGAATTTTTATTCTGCGAATTAAAAATATCAAAGTCTCAGTGCGCTATGGACGATACTTGATTGTGATTGGCCCCAATCAAATTCAATTAAAAATATCTCTTTTAAGTCAATAATATTTAATAAAATAAAAATTAAATCGAATTTAAAATATTTTTAATCCATTTAAAAATTTCTCCTATGATATTATTAATTTAGCGAATAGCGAATACAAATATTATAAACCAATATTTTAAATTCACTAAATTAAAAATATCAGTTTGGCATACAAATTAAATCTAATTTTAAAATATCTGCTAGTGTATTATTAATTTGCAGAAAAAAAACTTATGTGATATTTTTTTATCTAATTAAAAATATTACTCTAGTGTTAACACATAAAAATAATTTCTGAATGAATATAAAACGTCGCCACATGGGGCATGCATTGCATAGACGAGTCAAAATGCATAAACTCGTCAAGACTACAAGCAAATCATATGGCTTTTAAATTTTCACAAAAAATGTATATAAAAATCATACCGACAAGATTGCTGCATATCTAGACGAGTATTAAAAATGAATCAAGCCAGAATAATGTTTTTTGAGGTGATTTATTGACCCCCTCGCATTATTGAATACATTTACCAATTCGCTGAAATAAGGCATAAATTACATGTCACTTACATCGTTACATCCTTTATCCTTTGTAGTGTTAGAAGGGCCGCTGTGGATGTTAGGGATCTGGCTGCATCTCCCAAGTTAACTGAGATGTCAGGTGATTTCAAGATGTTACATTTTTGAATGTCTGAAAACAAGAAATAATGTTTTTCAAGAAGAACTACAATATTACAGGTATGAAATTTCACGTTTTGCAATGTTTATTACACGGAGAGAAATGTATAGTAAATTTTAGATAGTAAAAAAAATATAGTAAAATTTACTTTAACAAATTTTTAGGGTAACAATATTATATATTCGTCAATACAATATTAAGATTGTAATACAAAATACTATTTTGTATTATACAATTTTAGTAAAGATTACAACACCAATATTACTAAATCATAAATGTATAATATATATTTTAATTTTTAACATGTTCGTATAGTAAATTGATTTTACTATCTACAAATAGTAAATTACTATTAGTAATATTTACTATATGATTTAGTTAAATGTAAGGTGTACATCTAATATTTAATATATTACACATTAATAAAAAATATAGTAAAAATAAAGATACTTTTATGTTTAAGGTAAATAAAGAATATATTTAAATATAATATACAATATAATATATAGTAACTCATGACATTTTAAACATTTAATTTTCTTACTTTCTTCAATAAACTTTTTTGACCCATTACTGGTAATATAAGAAATAATTGAACCTACTTCGTTGCCTAGTATGTACCGATTGCGGCAAAGTCCACGTCGCGACGCGTCGTTAGACGGTGTGGATCACGTGATGTTCTTACATCTCGCCTCTGTTGGCTTACCAATCATGTTATATATATAATCTCAGGTATTTCTTTGTTTTGGGTGTGTTCCACCACAAGTTGCTCTACAGTGTCGTGTCGACACTGATGATACCCAATATACTGCCCTACTATGGAGAAAGGCAGTAACTGCTAAACAAGAAATTTGTGGAAAATTAGCATAAACTACATTTTTATAAAAAGCAGTAGGTATTTAATTGATTTTTTTTAACATATGAGATATTTGACTGCATTTCTGTGTTGAATTCGGTTACAAAATGTCCATAGCTTTACCATAGCACAAGAAAACGCAGTTTGAATTTTTTTGCAGTTACTGCCTTTCTCCATAGTAGGGCAGTATAGGTCAAAACACCTGTCTGTCGGTATTTGAAGTTGATGGAACGCATTCAAAACAAAAAACTTTGGCGAGGTGTAGGTTCAATTCTTTCTCATAACATTTTTGTATATTAAAAAGTAAAATAAATATGTTACAATTTTTAATTGTTAACATATAAAAATATTCGATTTTAAAATATTTTATATTTAAAATGGCAACATAATATTTTAAACTTTACTATACTTATTAGTAATGGAAAAAATCTAATTATATAAGAATTAAAAACAAAATTGGTTGAAAATAATAATATTTTACCTTAAGGTTTAACATACATGGATATTTAAAAATTACTAAATATGCATAGTATCTGGCAATATACAAGATAGTTGTGACCTTATGGCGTTTTATTCACGGGCTGAAGTTAGCAACAGTGGGTTTTGGGAATTTTAGTCATGAGTTGAAGTTGGCTTTCTTATAAATTAGGAAAAAGAGAGGTTAAATCCGTTAAAAGTTGACATATCAAATGTATAACAAATAAAATTGGCTTTAAAGTTTAAATTCTTCTTTGTGTTTTTATTTTATACTCGCTCGCAAGCTTTGCTCGTGCCTAATAAAACTCGTAAATAAAATGGCGTTTATAAAACTTGATACACAATATAGGGGAAGGTGGGGGAATTCTGCGCATCTAAGCAAAATCTCTAGTATCTTTTTTAAGTTTAAATGTGAAATTTTGCAATTAATACCAGCGATAGTCTACTATGTTTACTATGTGTATATAATGCGCAATTTATAAAAAAAAATGTTTGGTATGCAAAAACCAGCGTTGCCAATTTGCCAGTAATTCCTGGCATTTGCCAGGAATAAAGCTTCTTGCCAGTAATTTTGCCAGGAGAGTTCAAATGCCAGGAATTTGCCAGGAATTTGCCAGGAATTGGTTAATTTACAATAATCACTATTTTAGTGATTTTCATTTTAGTGATTTTCATCTTGCTTGATATGCGATTGTTCGATAAAAATGTTTGTTCACTTATCGTTTATACTCCTTAAAAGTATCCATCTTAGATAAGAAATCTGAGATGGTCGGGCCATCATGGCCCATGATGAAAAAAATGTGTTCCTTGCATCATGATCATGGCCCATCTCACAGACCAAGTCTGTGGCCCATCTCTACGTTTGCCGGGTGGGGCGTCAGCGTCAGTGTTGTCAGTGTTGTAACCAAAATAAATCATTTTTCATTATTAAAAAAACAATACATATTTTTAATTTTATTTACCTACTTAAAACAAAACAATACAATACGCAAATTATTTCAGCGGATCTCGGGCCGAGTGGGTTTTCAAAAACGCCTGATTACATTGCCTTCTTTCCTTTCCACCCGCCCATAGAACATGAACAATACAAGCCGTAGTTGAATTTATAAATTAACGCCGTCAATTTGTAAATGCTACAACGGCTCGCGTTGTGTTTATGTTTTATTGTTGGCAATACTGAACAGAGCTCACTTTCGAGGTCAGATTCAGATAAGTTTAATGCATTGGGGGAATTACCTACTTAAAATTTTGAATGTTTAGACGTTTGTAAGGTTATGCTGATAATAATTAAATTAAAATGGATAAATGGCTGACAAAAAAAACTAATTCTAGTTTCAATCCATCAGGATCTAAACCAAAACCACAGGTATGTAGATTTATACATATAATTATATATTATACCTATATAATATATTATATTAAGTGGATCGTTTTTCGTACCGCTTATTGATCATTATGATATTAAAAATAAATATTTATTTTATATATTATATAATATAATTAATACTTAAGAAGAGTTATGTAATTTTAGTTAAATAATATTTAAGTCCAATGAATTAACTTTATATTTACTAATAGTAAATTACTATATACGCTATTTTTAGGAGCTGGAAGACTCCAGAAACAATACTGACATTAACATCACAATTATAAATGATGCACCTGTGGAGGAATCTTTTAATAAATCTCAATATACTTCCGATTCTGCTAGTACTAATGCCAGCACTAGCTCTCAGGCAGACTCTAAGGCTTTTGTGGTAATATTTATTGTATAATTAAAGCTCTATATTTTTGCTTTGATTTTAGGAACTCAATGACAGTACGGAAGAAAAGCCTACTAAAAAGAAAAAAATTAACCAATCAAAGAGATTTCACCGATTTAATGCAGCCTGGTTGGAGGTTAATGAGTTTAAGAACTGGCTTATTAAGTCTGATAAGGTTAAAAAAAAATGATCTTATTGAATATGGCTCATGCAAAGTATGTGATTTATCAATATTTCCCAATAAGGTTGATATATTAAGACATTCAAAATCACAAAAGCACAAAAGTTTAATTAATACCATCAACACTTCGCAAAATTTAGACCAAATTTTAAATAAAAAACATTATTACAAGGTTAAAAAAGCGGAAATTAAATTAGCCGCAGCTGTAACTGTTAATAATGTTCCATTTCAATTTATGGATATTTTAAGCCCATTGTGTAGAGAAATATTCCCAGACAGCCAAATTGCAAAAGATTTAGCATGTAAACGGACTAAAACTACCACTATAATTAAACAAAACATAGGTAAATTTGCTCAGGAAGAACTGTGTTCCATTCTGAAGCAACCGGGAAATTACTTTTCTTTAATTATGGACGAAACGACCGATGTCGGAGCTATAAAACAATGCGCGTTTACTGTAATATATTTTTCCAATGAAAACAAAGTTGTTACTCGTTTTTTTGACATAATGGAAGTTGCTTCTGGCACTGCAGATGATCTATATAAATGTCTAAGGTCCACATTGGAGACAAAAAAATTCCAATGAGTAATTTAATTGGATTTGCCTCTGATACCACCAATGTTATGGTGGGGGAATATAATTCCGTATTCTCCCATTTAAAAAACAATTTACCGGAAATTGCACTTATTAAATGTTCTTGCCACATGATTCATTTATGTGCTAGTAAGGCGTGTTTGGAATTATCTAGACATGTTGAGGATCTTTTGAGGAACATTGGAGCTCATTTTAGCAGAAGTTTTAATAGGCAGGAGAAATTTAAAGAATTTCAGAATTTTTTTGGGACCGAAATCCATAAAATTCTCATGCCCAGTCAAACAAGATGGCTCTCACTAGAGCAGTGTTGCACAAGAGTTCTTGAGCAATACGACCCTCTGACCGAATATTTTCGTCTACTGTGTTTTGAAGATCCTTCAGTTACAAATGAACAAATTCTAAGTACGATTAATAACAAATTTACAAAAATATATTTAGAGTTTATGGCGTACATTCTAAATATTCTTAATATATTTAACAAAATGTTTCAGTCCGAAAGTCCGATTTTGTATAAACTTAAACCAGCAGTTATTGATATAATTAAAACTGTATGTAGTAATTATATTGAAGTTTCAAGAATAAAAACTGTGGACGCTTTAAATTTTGATCATAAAAATCCGAGACATTTTGTACCCATTAAAAAAAATTATTTGGGAATTTCAGCTCATGCATCTTTACAAGAACTAAAAAATGACCCTAATTTAGATTCTCAAGCACTCGACGATTTTTACTCTTCTTGTTTGAAATTTTATATAAGGCTTACTTCAGAAATAAAACAGCGTTTTACATTTGCTGACGAACTCTTTAATGTCCTTAATATTTTGGAGCCAAGAACCGCTCAATCTTACGAAGAAAAAACATTATCTCATGTTTTAAGTCGATTTTCGTTTTTGAACGAAATTATAAACAAACAGGAATTGGACAACGAATGGCGAAATCACGCTTTACTAAGCCATGCCAATTTAGGTCTGGATTATAATTTACCAGCTGATAAGTATTGGGCAAAAGTCTTTAAATTAAAAAATGCTGGCGGTGGAGAAATTTATCATAATTTAAAAATTGTATTAGGTCTTTTATTAATTTTGCCGTTTTCAAACGCCAGTGTTGAGCGTGTTTTTAGCGACCTCAATAATGTAAAAACTGATTTAAGAAACAGGTTAAAGTCTGATACTCTTGCCGCAATATTAGCAACCAAAGATTATATTAAGACTATTGAAGGTGGTATTTTAAAATTTACTCCTACCGATAAAATGGTTCAAAGTTTGATATGGTCTAACCGTTCAAAATAGTAATATAATGTATTTATTTGTGGTGAATAAAAAAATTTCAAAATATATTTGTTTTTTGTTGAAAATGTGTAAATTGCAAAAATTAAAAATTCATAAGCATTCACGTTGCCAGGAATTGCCAGTAATGATGATATTTTTTGCCAGAAATTTTATCAAGAGCTGTTGGCAACGCTGGCAAAAACTACATTTTTTTAAATAATGCATTTCGGCCATTTCAAGCGGATGGACGGGACAAATCACAAAACTGTTTATTTATTATATATTATTTTTGCATCAAAATTGTCAAATATATTCTTCTATTATTAGGGTATACATTAAATAAAAAAAATCGCAAGAAATATTTTATAAAAGTAGAGATAATTTCAATAATTGACAGGGATGGACGGGACAAGATAAATCTTTTTTTTTGTCCCGTCCACACCATTCAATTATTAAAATTATATCTACTTTCATAAAATATTTCTTGAGTTTTTTTTTATTTAATATATAACCTAATAAAAGAAGAATATTTTTGACAATTTTGATGCCAAAATATTATATAATAAATAATCTACAATTTTTTTTATAAAAACAGTTTGTAATTCGTGCGTTTCGCGCGCTTGAAATGGCCGATTTGCGCAAAATTACCCACCTATCAGGGTAATTTTGCGCATCATAGTGGGAAAATTTGCGCTGTATAGAGAAAGATTTGTAGGTATCTAAATAAACCGTTTATTTCTATAATATTATTATATTAAAACATAAAAATAAAACAAAACTATTTTCTCTATGAAACAAACAAAACAAACAAAATCAAAAATAAATAACTAAAAATAAAATTTTTGTTCTTAGAAAGAGGGTCTACATGCAACATTTGTCACATATGTAGTTTTAGGGTTTTTTTTTCGCTACACTCCGCGTGTGCCCAAATGGAACTGTTTATGCTGAACAATCTAGGCTCCTGTATACCAAAGCTCCCATATTGGCCAAATTTTGCAGCGCAAAATTACCCCAATTTTTCAGCGTAAAATTACCCCCATTGCAAGAAAAATATTGTGATACTAAAAAACTTTCCAAAAGTTAACCTGAACAATTTAAACATACACCAGATTACGAGGAAAGATCATATAAAGTTGTGTTATAAACATTTAAGCGATTGGACAAAAATTTAAACTTAACTCGTAGCGGAAACGACATGGATTTCTTAGATCAACGTACATGTATCACAGTTAGCTAGTGACCATGGTCACTAGCTAAAAGCTACAAGCTTAATTGCGGTACACTTTAGTCCCCGTATACCCAAAGCAACGTTTCCAAGTTTGCAACATTCAAAAAATGTATTATTTACTTCATATCTGGAAGAATTGTTTATGCGTAAAATTACCCACCGCGCAAAATTCCCCCACCTTCCCCTACTATTGTGTAGGTATCTTTTATATTGTATTTATAATTCGAAAAGGTACGTTATGTTAGAAACATTACCTACGAATTGGGATTAATCCCGGCGCATCCGCCATTTTTAATAATTACCTACGTATTATATAAATCATCCAAAGTAAAAAACTGAAACCAAGAAAAAGGCAAAAACCTGCATCATTAATTTTAATTGGTTATTGGGTTTACCTACTGTTAAATAAGGTATACATTTAAAAAAAAATTGTATTATTGGTCCCTTATTTATTGACCAAAATTTGATTGGTCAAATATATTTTAAAATGTTAGATGAAACAATACTTACGGAATATTATTTATTTAAAATTTATATATGCCGTTGTTTTAAAGATTTTATTTTTTTTTCTTATAAATATATAAAAAGGATAGTTTTTGTTTAAACCTTATTCACGTTTACTTAAAAATAAGAATATTTTAATATTGGTTTTTATAAAAACATGCAAAAAAGTATAGTAATTGGACATTTTATATAGTAATTGGACACATGGACCATAGTTATTGGACATAAAATTTTTATATAAACATAACAACTTTACATCAAATAACATAAATTGTTTAATAATTGTTTTAGGTAATTTTTTATTTCGTTCTTGTA